GTAGATTGCAGCCGGAGAATAACGCGTTGCCGTCCGTGTATCGGGAGATAACGCGACGCGGCTTTTCCGAGGAAGATTCAATTGGACGGAGAGTTAGGGGCGACAACATTTTTTACCTGAAGTAAATCGTAAGTACCAGTGGAGCAAAAAGAGCCTACGGCTGCATGAAAAGCAGGCAGAGACAAAAAGAGAGTGAATGTTGGTTGCGGAAAATTGCGGTAATAGCGGAGAGTAAAAGAGAGCGAGATAGAACAAGGGAAGGAAAGAGAGAGAGAGAGAGAGAGAGAGAGAGAGAGAGAGAGAGAGAGAGAAAAGTAGACAAGGAGGAAAAATCTCTCGTTGTTCACTTAAACTCAACGGTGACACGCGATAAGCGGGAATTACTTAATCATTTCGACGTACGCTTGATCTCGTGAGTCTCAACCGACGAGTGAAATGACGAGAGTCTGCGGAAGGAGGACCGATCGATGGCGGCGGTTCGTTTATTATAGCGTCGGCGATATCGCATATCCGAGACACACATATCTTCAGAATGGTTTCCCGTTCACGGAGATCTCCTGTCTTCTACCGCTCGATCTGTCGCGCAATACGATCGAGCTAAGAACAATGCGCGAAATTAAATTCTTCCCAGCGCGACGGAGGTGTGAGGATGAGTGGGAGAGCGAACGACGCGAACGGGATAGGGACAGAAGAATACCGACGAATTTTATTTTTTCCCGAGCGACAAGCAAAGTGCGAACACAACGCGCGTGAATTCTGAAAATTCACGCGACTGCGTCGTTGCGGTTCGTGCGGTCCGTGTTTAATCTCCCGCATCACTGATTTAACCCTCCCTATCTCCGGGTCCTGCTGCGAGCAATTTATCGATGTTTTAGCAGCCGCGGATAGAACGATGACGCGTCGACAGAACAATTGTGCGAGTAAATCCGAAAACGCGCATTTTCGGTTAAGTGAAGTATAATAAAATAGATATTTATGATGTGTGTACACCCATATGTACACATTATTTTTTCCCCACATGTCCCTTCCCCCCCTCTCTCTCTCTCTCTCTCTCTCTCTCTCTCTCTCTCTCTGTCTCTCCCTCTCGCCCTCTCTGCCCTTTCTCATCTCTTCCTACGTCACACGCAGCGGCTATGCGGCACGCAGGTCATGAAGCAAATGTGTATCGCTATGCGCGAGAGTGGTTGTGGGTACAGTAAGTGCCATGTGATCTGTCCCTGGATGCCAATCGTTGGAAAATTTCGGCCATGACGGAACGAGTGGATCAATGTTACGCGACCTGCTACATTGGTCTTGTGATGGGTAACGCGACCTCTTGCGTATGCAGTACACGAATGGCTCTGGGCTGCATTCCACCCCCGTCGTTCGCCGTCGGCCGTGCATCCGTCCTATACCCTTCCTCCCTCCCGCCACTCCTATAGTATTTTATACATATATATATATATATGTGTGTATATATATATATATATTTCTTTTTGGCATAGTGTTTCGTTTTTCGTCTCTTAAAAAGAGACGATTAAAATCGTCTTTGTGTTTTCTCTCTCCGTCCCGCCGATGAAATCTCGCACGTTTCTCACGGCGGAGATTAAAGGCTGTTAATGTCTCTCATACTACCGCCTTCTTCGTCGTCGTCGACTACTGCTACTGCTGCTGCTGCTGCTGCTGCTGCTGCTGCTGATACGTATTGCCCGATTCACCGCGTAATTCGAGCTACCGCCCGCGACTTACGTACGCGCGAATTGCGAGCCGAAAAAGCCGGAAACGCGGTGCGGTGTCAATGGTAACGATAACGGCGTGGCAACAAGTGCTTTTAACGTCCTAACAGCGAACGTTCGCCTGCATTCTTGGGAAAGTGCTCGACACATTGCTCTCAAAGGATCTCCCGCCGCGGCGGTTTGGCGGGATGATGGAGCGCGGTGGTCGCAGAGACGGGACTGGGAAGGACAACGAGATGCGTCGCGCGGCATTCGAACCATTCGAATAAATTCTTTAAGCGGTCTCCAACTTCCGCTCTCCCCCTCCCTCCCTCCCTCCCCCTCTATCCCACCCCCGCAGCCCCGCTGGTTGTTCCGCTTATCGCATTCTTCCCCTTTGTTTCTCTCGACATCGCGGGCATGTCTGTTTCTTCGGTGCCTCATGCGCTCCTTCTTTTAAAAATCCAGCTTCTTTCCGCATCACGGCTGAGTCCCCACGTAATTCCTGCCTGCATTTTGATCCCGACCTGGTTGCCCTTTTATGATATCGCGCTTTTGATGTAGCCCCGGATTTCGAGGAGCTGAGCGTTCCATATGTGAGGTCGGGAGTAGCGAGATGTGTTCGATTGGATTTATATTATTGTAGGACATTTATGTATATTGAGCTGTTCGAAAAGTTTTCGTCGAGATATTCTGCGGAAAGCTCCGATAAGCTCGTAGTCAGGCGTAACTTTATCTTTTCAGTTTCCTTTCCATCATCTGCCATCGAAAAAGTGATCGGAATACATTATTGAACTAAGTTGTGGCAAACTATAAAAGTATAAGAGAGTCGGCTCTCTCAACTCCTCGCAAAAATCCTTATTTATCGAACTTGTCGGACAAGCCGATATATTCATAATTATTCGCGACTATCTTAAATGCGTATAGGAGAAAAATTATTGAAACAGTAAATGTGTTTAGCACCGAAAGATGATACCAGAGAAGAGAGCGCGAGGGAGAATTATATATACCGGTTAAATTCAGCCGCTGCGGGAATGTTCGTTTGAGTCATAAAACTGTTCCGTGTATAACGTATGCGCGATGTCTGCGGTAACTACATCACGCATCGTTAAACGTCGTTCGAAAATTCAAAGCGGAGTAACACGTTTTTCCCGACTTTCTTTTATCTCACGCCGCTGCTGTCGCCGCCGCCGCGGCAACAAAAGCAACAGTAACAGCAGCAGCAGTAGCGACAATTTCCTCTGGCCTTTAGTACCTCCCCGATTCCTCTCAAACGCAACTCAAGGAGCTCGGGCCGGCGAAATTCTTCGAGATTTTCGCGTGGCTCGGCAACAAGCGCGTTGGTTGGCATTACCGCGAGCTGTTCTGCAAGCGATGCTTCAGTAATGTTACCCGGACGAGATAATGCCGGGCGAAATTAATACGGACGGCACTATTACGAGGACGTATGAAACGTACAGTACGCACTCTGTTCTCTTTCTTTACGCTCGAGTTCGGGAGTAAGAAAGCTCAGCTGGGATACTCGATCTGTCAAGGCCAGCTGCTAGGAGGGTGAACTACTTGATTTACGCCTTTCTTCCATCTTCGTTCGCGGAACATCCTCTTTGCCTTTCTCCGCCCCTCTCTCTCTCTCTCTCTCTCTCTCTCTCTCTCTCTCTCCCTCTCTCTCTCTTTCCCTCTCTCTCTCTCTCTCCCTCCCTCCCTCTCTCTCTCCCTCTCTCATTCCTCCCTTGAATGCTCTATTTCATCAGCTTAATTCGGCAGAGCTCAAGACGGTTTAAAGTTTTAAGCCGACTTTTGCTCTATTTTTTCATGAACAAGTTTAAACGTGACGTCATCTCATACGCGTCAAGCGTGAATTTTCACGGAATCTCTTTTTCACATTTTTGTCCAACAAATATATTTAGTTTAGTAGTCGTTTAGACATTATCGAGTTAACCTATTTACAGTTTAGCGACGCAGAGCAAAAAATATCTATTATTTCTTTAAATTTCGTATAAACTATTTTTGCATTTTTGCATTTTTATATTTTTTTTCCCGAAAAATCTTTCATACACAAAGGGCATGCTTCCAATCATTTTTTATCGCTATATGTTCTTGTCCTGACCCCCCTTCTTTCTCACTTTCTCTTATTTTTTCAATTACAAACACGCAACGCACGCTTTCAATCCTTACCTTATCTTCATCTTTTTCCTCATTTATATACCTTCTTTTACTCCACTTATTTTTCTTCTTGTTTTTCTCTCTTCTTGAATTATATATTAATGTAATATAAAAATCACTATTGCAAAATTGCAATATAAAACTTAATATAATATAATATTATAGGGTAAGATAGAAATGTTGTAGAAATATTATAGAACATTGTATAAATATTGTACAAATATTGTATATATTATATATATTTTTTATTGTATCAAATTATTATTATACAGTATTATAGATATATATACATATATATATATATATAGATTTGTATCAGGAGAATATAATGAGCGGAAAGATATTCTGGACCAAGTCCGAATACCTCCTCGGTCATTATATTCTCCTAATACAAATCTACGAAAACTGGAATTTCGAATTTTTCGGGAAACTCGGACTTTTGTATCAGGAGAACAATGTGCGAAGAAAGTGCACGAATTTCTGACGGGAAGTTTGAGGTTTTTTTTTTGAGGATTTTGAGGAAAATTAGATTGTTAAAATAAAGTACAATTATATTATATTATAATATTCTATTTATTTTATATAAATGCTGATAATGTTACATTATATATAAATATATTAATTATGTAATATATAACATATATTACAAGATATTTAAAATATGTAATATAATACAGATAGAATTCATTATTATATACAATTAAGAAATCTGATTAAATATTTTCGAGGTGCCATTTTTCCAAGTGTCACGAAAGAGAGGTGCAGATTTTTTAATTGTTTCTATTGTAATAACATTACTCGCTTATTACAATAAAAGACTTACGTACTCGTAGGGCCGCGATACAATATGTTTAACGATACATATTACAAACATAATACATTACAGTCTATGTTCTATATACATCGCGATATATATTCTACGCATTACAATATATAGTTTTATTAACTATATTAATAATATATTAAACAATAGCCATGAAGTCGCGTTTACATACGGATCTTCGCGTGTTACGTTCCTTTTTTGGCGCGGATAACTGCCGAATGTTCCAATGGAACATACGGTTTTCACCTCGATGTCGAGGTACACACGACAATGCACGGACGCTGCAAAGTTTGCACGGAGAATTCCGTTGTCTGTTCCAGCGTCAAGACGGACATGGGTGCAGCCGGCGCGGTATCCAGACTCTACATCGCGAACGCGAATAAAAAGGATAGCGGGAACTACAGCTGCGCTTTGGCGGATGTAGCAGCAGCCACTATGGTGTCCGTCCACGTGCTGAACGGTACGTCTCCTGCGTACTCTTACGGAATGTGAAAGTACTTTGCGCCAAATACGCGATGAGCGGTCTGTGCGTGTATTTCTGTGCAAAACGTCAAAACCGCACTTTGGGTCGCCGCAGTATAAGGACCAGCGGCGGTGGCGGCGGCGGCGGCGGCGGCGGGTCTCTGTTCGCTATCGATAAACGCGTTTGAGGAGAGCGTTAGGCAAGTGGGAGCAGAAAGCATATGGGCCGGCAGAGCTCTAGCTAACTACCCTCGGCATTCGACGTTTATCGATATAAATTTTCGCCCGTACGCACGCCCGATAATTGATTTTCCACGGCTTTTCAATGACCCGGCAGTGCCTATTACTGGCTGGAGAGTCCCTCTTTTCTTTTCCTGCGCGCACCGTCTTGCGTTTCACGCCTTCCTCGCATTCCAAGAGGTCGCACTCGGGCTTCCTCCCCCTCCTCTCTTTCTTTTCCCTTCGGCGCACCAATCGATCGTGTAGGGATATAAAGCTGTGATTTCGTCAGGGTAAATAATCGAAGCTAGACGTCGCAGCCGACGAACGGGGAGACGCTGCGGTTGACGGCTCGGCCGATCGCTTCTCGTGATTGTCGTCGTCGTCGTCGTCGTCGTCGCGCGGTCTCGATTTCCGCTTTGTCGACGACACGTTCCTGCACTAAATGACATTTTTGAGTGAGCACCGAAAATAGAGTGCCACGCGATATTAAGTAGATGGGGAGACGCGAAGGGGGCTGAAACAAACTATGGTTAATATAATATTGTGTGTGCGTGTGTGTGTGTGTGTGTTTGTGTGCTTACCTAAGACTTTTTTCACTGCTCGCGGCTAGCCGTGCTGTTTCGTATGCTCCGATTCCTCGTCTAATACCGGCGCATGGAGTATTCATAGAAAAGTTCGTTGAATATCCAGGTTGACCCATTTCTTTCTTCAGCGTACCGCCGGGCTACCGTAGAATTCTCCTCCCCTCTGTAATTTCTCTCATTCTCGCTGCAAGTCAAATTAACATCTTTTTTAAAAAAGTGTACATAATTCTCGGACGTACTAATTCTTACGTTCTACAATTGCATTATGGGCGCAATGTGAGCGAGGGTAAGTCTCTCTCTCTCTCTCTCTCTCCCCCTCCCCCTTCCTCTCCCTTATTCTCCTCCTCCCTCCCTCCTCTCTTCCTTTCTCATCAGGATGAGAGATAGAATCGTGGATTTGATTTACCGCGTTCATAGATAGCGATTGTTAACGAGAAAATTACATTGCCGCCTCGCGCGTCTACCTGGAATCTTTCACGTGGAATAAATAAAGAAAGCGGTCTTTTCAAAACGAAGTTAAGACGAGAATAAAGATTGATAGATAAAGTCAATCAATGTCGGTGCGATTAGTCCGATCCACATGAACGGTTGAAAATACTCGGCTCGCCTTATACCGACAGTTTGTATTTTCACGTCGGTTTGATCCGTCGCGGACGATAACGTTCGCGTGCTCTTTACTCTTCTTTATCTCGAGACGACGTAAAGCGCGAAACTTCCGTATCACGACGGAATAGCGACGTAAGTCGACTCGATGACGCGTGCTTCCGTGCGAAATGCCGCTAAACGCAAGCTTTATAGTAGCGGATGGGCGATGCCACTGCGCAAGACGGTCGATATTGTGGGCTGGGGAGCGTCTTTCGAACTTATAGCGAAGGAGCTCAACGAGTTTTCACGGTGGCTTTTCGCGCTCGGGGCGGGGCGGCTCAAAGACGCCGCCGCATCTAGCTGATGTGCATTATTTACGGCGGATTACCTTAAGTCGGCCCAATACGGTAGTTCGATCCTTTCGGCGAAGTTTGACGAGGAAGAGAGGAAAGGGGAGAGCGACAGAGAGAGAGCGAGAGAGAGAGAGAGAGAGAGAGAGAGAGAGAGAGAGAGAGAGAGAGAGAGAGAGAGAGAGAGAGAGAGAGAGAGAGAGAGAGAGAGAGAGAGAGAAGGAAGGCACACGAGCGACCACGGAAATGCCTGCCTATGACGCATAATCCGCATCTGGTTTCTTTCGAGGAAAACGAGAAGACGCGTAATCCAGCGCGATCGTTCGTTGCCATTCGCCGGGAAATTAAAAAGCCACGACCGCGCATACGAGGACGCGGACTTACGTGCGACTTACTGCCTTTACGAGCGCGACCTCTCCTCCCCAGCGATGGCTCTCGTTTCCCTACGCGCCCCACGTCGCGCTTACCTTTTATTCGGACGCCAGTGCACAACGGGGGGATCCCGTTGCATCCCGTTTCGTCGGCTGAATCCTCGGGCGTGCGCGCGGTCCGCCCTCGAATACATATCACCGGCAAAACAAGCGCGTCTTATCATGCCGCAGAGAGAAAGGGAGAGAGCGCTGGCGAACGCGCCACGACAGTCGGGCGCAGTTAGTACGGGCTGGCGTTGCCGTCGCAATGAGTATGCGGAATGCACAAGTCGGAGGGAGTTATTACCGGTGGTGGTTGTATGCCGGTAACTACAAGAGCGATCATAATACTGGAAGTAATGCGAATTTGCTTGACAAGTAGTCGGACGCTCGAGGCTCGCATTCGAAAATAGTTAGCCGCGACGAGAGTCGCTCCGCGTCGTGAAATTTCGCCCCGACCCAGCCGTCGCCGTCGCCGTCGCCGTCGACGGCGGTCAGAGCTCTCTCTGATGCGGCGCGCACCGCGCTGCATCATCAAGCGCGCGAGCGCGTCTCTCACTTCCGTAGTTTCGTCTATCCGTTTATGCATGTGATCGACGCTAATGACGTTCGCACGCGCACGCGAGAGGGATTCGCGAAAGCCGGGATCGTCGGTCGTCTTTGACCACGCTCGTTATCCGTGTCGCATCCTAATGCCATGCGGGATCGATGAGCGATCGATTCTTCTCCGCGCGGCTCGCCGCGATTTGCATTAAGTGGCTGCCGCCAGGGGGGTCTCCACGCGGACGTCCTTCTATCTGCCGATTTCACGATAGTTTCGTAAGCTACGGCTTACGCCAGGACGCTTCTGACGATAGCGCCGTGCGAGAAATCGCCGTGTCACGTGTGAAGTTACCTCCGCCGGGGTCGACGCTCGACGGGACATGCCCGAGTTGTCTCTCACGCGCGATAAACAACCTGTGGAAAAATATGTCGGCTAAGTGCCGCGATGCCGCGCCACTCGCGCGACTCATTAATATTCAGACACAACGTACTTTAGAGTCTTTTAGTTTATTATGCAAATGAAAACCGCGCCTCTGTGTGTCGGTGTGTGTGTGTGTGTGTGTGTGTGTGTGTGTGGTGCGCGTACGTGTATGTACGTGTATCGGCGAATGCGCACCGCCGTCGTCGTGGCGCGAAGCGGAGAAGCCGCTTGTGGAACACCCCAAGAGCGAGAAAAAGAAAAGAGCACGGCTTTAATTCTCCGCCGGCGAAGCGCGCGCGGCACATCTCGTACATCTTTCGTTATTCTTCGTTTCTTTCTCTCGCTCCCGTCCCCCCGTTTACAATTAATATGCCTTTAATAATGTAACGGGGCTATACCACGCTTCGTAATTAATTACCTCCGAGATAATATGTCACGGTTATTAATTAAATACGAGCGTCGCGCGGAGAAGCGGAGCACATTACCCGGCGCTATCTTAACGTACCTCTCCTCGAGGAGGACTCGTGCCCTCGTGGCGGCCTTCTTTCTCTCGCAACTTTTGCTCCAGCTTCCCCTTTCTCTCTTTTCTTCCGCTCTTCCTCTCGTTTTCTTAACTCGCGATCTCGCAGCTATCATTCTCCGCGCTCTCTCCGTACAAAATTACTGTCGGTAAGACCGTTTTAGCTAAAGTACGTTTAAGTTACTATACATACATATATACGTACATACATACATATATATATATGTATGTATGTATGTATGTATGTATGTATGTATGTATGTATGTGTGTATGTATATATATATATGTATACATAAGCTTCGTTTAGTAGAATCGAAGATCCGCTGATAATTCGCGAGTCCGGATAAGGGCGGGAGCGCCGTCGTTTGCGGTAGAGTCCGGGGAAAAAAGGATAGAAAGTAACTTAAACGGGGAAACACGCCGCGTGTTAAGACCGCCAGGCCGCCGTTCGTTCATTTGTTCGCTCGCTCGTTCTCTCGCTCGCTTGTTCGTTCGTTCGTTTGCTTCCACGCTCGTTCGTTCGTTCTCATTCCTTCTTTCGGTCTGAACCCGGATGAAAGGGATCCAATGGCGAAAAGGCGCGAGGAATACGTGCGAGCGACGGGTCAGATGAGATCGGCGTGTTCTCTCTCTTTCTCTTTCTCTCTCTCTCTCTCTCTCTCTCTCTCTCTCTCTCTCTCTCTCACTCACACACACACTCACGAAATGAGTGCTCCTTGGCGGGTTAATGCCTACGAACGAACGCCAGTCGTTTCGCGGCGACTGGATATGGAGTACGAACGACGAACATTCGGCCGGTTGCTCCTGGCACGGCAACGAAGTCCTCGGGGTTATTCCGCGGGGTGTCACGCCCTGCCCATTAATAATCATGGCCGCAGGCTTCGTGAAGACTACACGTCGAGACCCGCTTCTATCCCTTTTGCGACACGGAAGGCTTGCCGTATCGCCTCTTCGGCATCGTCGCGGCTCCTAAGGCGGCGGCATGCTCTCTCTCTCCTTCATCCTCTCGCGTTACGTCGCCGACAGCCAGGCGTGAGAAGTTTGCAAAGCTGTCTTTTTCTCTATATTTCTCTTTTTCTCTTTTTTCCCCTTTCTCGCGCGAGCGGCGTAGTTAACAGGTTCCGCGCGAGACGCGCGGTCGTGGTCATGTATAATACACACAGAGAGAATCTCCGGAGGCCGCTTGACAGCTCATTTCGTATCCGCCTTTTTCTCGACCGCGACGATTCTTTAAGCCCTTCTGCGAGTCACGAGTACCAGTCGGCTGCGGGGGCGGAGAGGGGGGGGAGGGAAGGTGAAGCGCGGCAAAATCGCACCTCCGAGTCGCCGCGCGCCGGTGATATTATACAATTCCCTGCTTGTCGGCGCGAATTAAAATCGATGCTTCTTCTGTGAGCGGGGAACGCAAGACGAGCACCGATTAATTTCGAGGCTCGTTACTCGAGCAAACGGCGCGACGCGACATGACGGTATGCCACGTTTTAAGCGAGGACAAGGCAAATCAGGAAGTTCGTCTGTCGAACGTGTAGTGAAATCCGGGTTCTTCGCTAGCGCAGAGAATGGGGGGATTATCATCGGTTGAATTTATGAAAAATCGAGAGAGAAGAAGAGGAGAGAAAGAGGGGAAGAGAGAGAGAGAGAGAGAGAGAGAGAGAGAGAGAGAGAGAGAGAGAGAGAGAGAGAAAGAGAGCATCATACACTGGTACGCGTGCGCGCGCGCGCATACTTGCACGTCGGCGCAATGTGATTATCGAAGTCAATGAAATTACGATGCATTTGCACGCGATATTACGAGGCATCGCATATGTATGCGAGGAACATGAGTTATCGGCTAATTAATTTGTAATTAAGCAGAGATCGAACGCCGTCGCGAATTATTCCGCGTAATCCGCGCGCTGCATGAATGGATTTCTGTCGATTAAATAAAACGTCGACGCAAACATTTTCCTTTTTTCTTTTTCCGCCGTGTTATTACAACGCGGCCCGACTTCCTTCTCGCCGGATTGAACCGAGTCATTCGATTCAAATATGTTTTCTGCATGGCAATGGGGAGTACACAATTCCATTTCTTCGGCGGATTAGCGGAAGCGTTCCCAATAAGATAGGACGTCTCAGTCCCGCCGAGGATCCAGACGATTTAATTAACGGGACGAAGATCTCGGGATTAAGAGCCGGTTTACTAGGAACGCGCGTAAACAAAGTTGTAAATTTTTCTCAGACCGACGGCGTTTAATTGAATCTTGGGAAGGTCGTTTGTATGACTAGCCGCTAAGAGTGCCACGTGGATGGCATGTTTTCGACTCGGGGGAAACTTTCGAGTCGATCGACGTAAATGCTTTATGTTCGATTGCCGTGAGAATGTAAAGAGAAATTACGGAGTTGATGGCTGCTGGAGAAAGAGGCCCAAGAAAAAAAGAAAAAAACAAGTAGCTGAGAAGAAGACGAAGGAGAGGCGGAAGCGGAAGCGTGTCACGTACGCGCGCGACGCGATTCAGACGAATGCGCGTTTCGTCGCCGAATTTTGCGACATAATTCATTCGCTCGGTTACATTCGCTATGCAATAAAGACGCTTAATGTACTGTATCGCACGCTGCGATATAAGATTTATAAAGGCCTATTTTGTTAATTCGCGTTGCGAATCTGTAATTAAATGTAGGTGATTACAATTGCATTACCGGATTATTCGCGAAATTTGCATGTCGCGATGCTGCGGCTTCTGATAAATTTCCACACGCGCGGAAAGAGCGATTAAATTCATTCGTCGTGCGCGAGTGCCGCAAGTTGTTAGAATCGCGTCGATTTCTCTACGGTAAATAAATTTATTTTCAATCTATATTTATTATTTATTTATTAAATTTATTTTAAATCTATATTTTTTTAAATCTACATTGTTTTAAATCTACATTTATTTTAAATCACCTTTATTTTAAATCTACTGACGCGCGCGAGCTACTCGCGACTGTGTTTGTGTTGAAAAAATGGCGATAAAGGGGAGAGAAGGCAGGTTGTCCAACGACGATGGCTAATCGGCGGGCACATTGTCGTTACACGACAGTCGATAAATCCATTTATTTCTTTGTTTCTTTTTTTCTTTTTTTAACACTTCAATCGAATGAGCAAATTTCAGTGATTAGTGCATTTTATGCTTTTATCCGCGGGGATATCCGAGCGTTCCGCTCGGACGTGAAACAAAGGAGACCGTTTTTCTCGCGATCGTCCGTCGCTTTCGCTTTAAACAGCAACAAGAGGGATATTTTGTTCCCCGTATCGTCGGCGATGAGTGGTTTTCGATCGGCCATTTACGAAACTCGCGCAGAGAGACCGCAGCTTTTGTCACTTTTGAGCGCGCGATGGCCGAGCCAGTAGGATTGCATTGCATTTGATATTTTATCATGGATTTCATTGATGGCCGAGTTCGCGTTTATGTTTTGAATTTTTCGGCAATTCCGATGCCAAATATCAGTCGCAATCACCGTGTGTGCAGATCCCTCGGTTTTTATCACCACGACTGTAACCCCGTGTGACATTCCAAATAAAAGGATTGAAACGCCATTCGCGTTTGGCCAGCGAGCGAGCGTGCGCGCTCGCGGAGTATACTCCGTTTATTAAACAGCGTAAAATAGATTACTTACAATATACATATAATATATCGGGTATCTTCGAACGGATGTTTCTCCCACGCTCCCGTGTGTGCCGAGTCGATTGTGCTAACTCCCGTGTTAACACTCCCGTGTTAACTCCGCGGGTCGATTTATCATCCGATTCCGCGCGGTGTCAGCAAAATTGAGACACCGATAATCGAACGGCGGACGAGTATCGTAAAAGTCAATAATTTGATCAAATACAGAAATAAAGAGGCAAAGGCGGAAATTTAATTTCAGAACGGATGAGAGAAGGGCGCTGGAGAAAACGTTATAATAACAAGCCGTCTCTGTTGTCGACTCCCGGTTGTCAAGCGCTCCCGGACGGAGAAGTTGAAGTCCCAAGTGAAGATATTGCTCTCGATTGTTATCGGAGATTTTACATTCAACTTACGTGTTTCCCACAGAATTCTCCCCTCTGCCGTCTATTCGCTCGTCCTCGAAAATTTTCTCCGTCGCTAAATTCGAAATCGAGAGGGAGATAATGTTTTTCTCTTCCTCCTTTTCTCCCTTTCTCTTGTCGCTCCAAGAGCGCGAGAAGATCTTCGCGTATGCGATGTAACGATCAACGCGTTGTTTTATTCAATGGGCTGACGTTTTAGTAACGCAAGTTGCAATAACGCGTGTACGCATTTTTATAACGTTTCGATTCCACGCGATGAGTGACAAGGCAGGAGGCGGGAGGGGAGGAGAGGGGGAATAGAGAGAACGAGAGAGAGAGAGAGAGAGAGAGAGAGAGAGAGGGAGAGAGGGAGCTGCACAACTGGTAACAAACAAATATTACATGAAATATAATATTTGTTAGAATACCTGCGCGCTGGAAAAATGATACTCGACTTTAAAATGCCGCTCGACGATGCAATATCAGCGAAATATCGGGGACATGAGTGCGTACGTGCGACGATATTTTTCATAAATATCTCATTTTTCAGAAAAATCCCCGCGTGCGTGCGTCGGGGTCTCAAAAATATCACTCGACCGCGTCTCTTCGTAGTAAACACGAGTGTGTGCAATGTACGACGGCAATGACGACGTCGACGTCAACGACAGGGATCGGGACGGCGATGTGTTGTATGTGCACAAGCGCGTAGGAATTAATCGCGCGTATTTTCGCTCTCTGTTGCAGGGGAGAATCCAGCTGCCATGCAACACGGCGGTACCACGGCCCCGAGGGCGACCTTTATCTTCACCGTTGTGATATCACTGTCGTCGCTCCTAAGGTGACCGTGATGACCCCGGTGCATTTTGGACCTGCGATTCGAATGGTGCTAACTTTTCTCCCTCCCCGCCCGCGCCGTTGAGAGACTACTCGTGCGCCCGGCAATGTATTCTCTCCAAGTGAAAACGGGAACCTCGGCCTCGGTGTCCCCATGATCCCCTCCCGCCTCTCCTCCTTCGCCGACCGTCCTTCACTTTCATGAGAGCGACCTAAGCCGCCGTCATCATCGCGACCGATGCTGCGCGCGCATTACAGGACGGGTCTATCGTTTTCGCACGAAACTATGGTGTATGACAACGAAAGAGAGTTACTACCAGCAGCATCGTCATTATCGTCACTGCCATCATCACCACCACCGCCGTCGCCGCCGCCGCCGCCGTCGCCGCCGCCGCCGTCGCCGCCACCACAACCGCTATCGCTACCGCCACCGCCAGTACCACTATCATCACCACCACCGCCACCATCAACGCCACCTTCACCCGCACCATCCGTTGGTTCTTCGTGCTTCGGGATACGGTGGGACTCGACTCTCGGACGAGACGTAGCCTTGCTTAGGAGCGCCGCCGGTTTTCTACCTCGCGGTTTCGTCGCGCGTCCGCGAGACAACGCGTCGCGGTCTCGCCAGCGATGTTTCAGCTTGCCCCGATGGAAAACAGCCCCCGACTAATCACACCCCCGGGAGATCCGACATCGGCTCGTGGGACTCACGCGGAGTAAATAACGCGCGCGCGTTCGCGTGCCGTGCATTTCGGGAAGAACGAAAGAGAGTAATTCATCGCGCATCCCCCGTCGCGTGTTTGAACAAACTATCTCGCCCCCCCCTCTCTCTCTCTCGCTCTCTCGCTCCCTCTCCTGTTCTCCTCCCTCTTTCGCGCTGCTAACGTGTTGCGCGCGTTATTTCGCGTGTCCGACACGCTGTTCAGACACGGAAAGCCGGCAATTAAAACATTCCGTTTTATGCGAAATATGCAAACGCGAGACTAGTCGCGACATGTGTTTCCAGCGATGCTGGAAAACAGTTGTGCGATGATTCGATCAACTGTACTCGACTAGGTACGTTCGTGCTTTTTTCCCTTGCTTCCTTTTCTATTGCTTTATCATCATCGCGAGGCTCTTAGGTATCCGTTCGAAGCTGCCGAGCGACTTTTCTTTTCGTCGTCGAGATACTGCATCCCGGTTTATATGTAAATCACATTCAAGAACGTGTCGCTGTCTCGTCCCTGGTTTGATGTCATTTTCGTCGTTTTTTTGTCGTTGCTCTTTTGTTTCTCTCGGAAGGTATAACAAGAAAAAGCTTTCTATCGATCGGAGGAAACGAAGTCTTACGAAGTATGCAGCGGATGCGTAAGCAAAGTTCGAAGGCTTGTGGGAAATATATATATAAGTATATATACATTTTTGTGTATATACATATATACACTTGTGTGTGTGTGTGTGTGTGTATATATATATTTGTTGAACTTATATTGTGTATGAAACGTTACGTACTTGTAAATATATGAGTGACATTTAGTGCAAAAGTTTCGGGGGATTCCAAAAGGTTGAGCAAATTCGTCGAACGACACCGTCCAAAGTATCCAGCGCGTACTGGCTAATTCAGCGAATGTGGTAGCGTTTGCATTTGGACTAGCGATCATTTCGACGTCCGGCTAACGGGCAAATTTATTGGACCGGGCAGATCGCGCCGATTTCCTTTCGTTTCGCGCGTAGGTCGCGCTTTACGGAGAGGCAATAGAGATCGAAGCAATTCGTCCGGTATCTCTAAAAATTTCATAGCCGCCAACCACGTCACACTCATACTCACACTTACACAAACACATACGCACATCCGCACACATATCATCTATATCTCGTCCTGTCGCGTTACGAGTTCGCGATCCTACGAACGAAATCGGAGTTCAGCCGCCATCGATAAGCGCCTTCGGCGTACGTATCGCGGCTCTCAAAGCGATCGCCGATAATTATCGCCGACGAAAAGGAAATCGTTCTCGGAGCGTTAAGCTCGCCGGCGCGCATTTACGAACTTATGTCGTCGTTGTTCGACAGACCGATATGCGGGCGCGCTATTTTCACGGCTTTCGATCACGGCGGATCGAAGAAATCGCGCTCGCCCTCTCCGAGCGTGAAACAACGATCGCTCGGGCCGGGCTCCGGCCATTGTCCGCCGGCGGCGCGTTTGGGGGTTTTCACGTCCGGCATGAGCACGCGGCGCGAAAAATATGCGACGAACGTGAGGGACGAAGATGCATTCATCCGTCGCCTCCCGTCCGCTCGTCCGCTTAAAATATGCTTGACGTTGACGAACGCCAAATAAAATCCGTCAGCGTCAGACAGGAAGAGAGAGAGATAGATAGATAGAGATAGAGAGAGAGAGAGAGAGAGAGAGAAAGTGAGAATGGGAGGAATGAGGGGCGCTGCGGCAGTCGCGCGTATAAAAAATTTCATCATTACAGAGACTTGACTAGGACCGTTCCTATTTGCCGTCTGTTCGACATAACTTTTTTTCGTCCTTTCTACCCTCCCTCTTGCCCGCTTTCCCCCTAGCTCCCTTCCACGATCGTGACACGGTCGGATAACTTGCGCTCGCACGTTCTTTCGTTTTTGCACGCATAATACTGTACTTTGTGAATTTTGTGTTTTGCGTGTTACCACCATTTTTCGTATCTTCTTGGTCGCTCGAGAGTTCCATCTCCCCCTCCTCCCTTTCCCCTGCCGCGTCGGGTACTTTTGGAATTTATAGTTGTTTCAACACAGCCGGCGGTTATGTTTAATTCACGAAACAAAAAGCGGCTTTTTTCTCTCCGACGCGAAAATTCAAGCATGATATGCGTATACTTCTGTGCGCGCGGCAATTTTGCGCGTGCAAAATTCTGAAGGAATTGTCAACGACGGTAGACGATAGGAGACGAGGCTTCAGTTTCGCGGCGGCGACCGGGATCGCGCGATTCGTCGGCCGGCATGCCGCGACGGTAAACGACGTTTCGCGATTAACTGATTTTTGCATGCCCGCTCTGCACGGGCGAAAAATCAACGCAGCGCGCGCTTTGAGCGCAAACATCGCCGCGTAATTCATCATCGCGCGTTATAGATTACACGCTTTGAAAGTGCTAGTTTGCATAACAAAAAAGCCGCATTAAAAGGACCCAACGGAAGAATGGCAGCTCGAGCGACGAGAGTAAACTTACGAGGGCGTGGAGAGGAGGCGAATTCAGGGGTAGGGAGGGGGAAGCCAAGTTAAGTCGGCAAATAACATAACGTGTGCGGCCGGCATTTGCATTTTAGAAATTTTATAGCACGTCCGCGCGCGGGCGCGCTATGCGCGACGGTGAGTATACGATTGCATTAGGGATGTACTGAGGCGGAACTGCAACATGCAGGATCGAGCGATAGGGTGCGGTAGGGTGGTGTGGCGAAGGGGAGGGAGGGGGCGCGGTGGTCGCGCAGGCAAAAGCGCGACAGTCGGACAAGGATCGATCGCGGCAACAAATTGCCGATCGTGCCGATGGAAAATGAACCGTTAAGCAGCCCTCCGTGACAATGACGTACGGTTAGTTTGGCGTAAATCAGTAGGCTCGCTGCTCTACTCTCCGCTACTCTGCGCTATCGCTTACTCTATAATACCGTACTCTCTGTCTAGCCGGCAATGCCTACCTCTCTCTCTCTCTCTCTCTCGCTCGCTCGCTCGCTCGCTCGCCGGCTGCGTAATGTGATAATTTAACAGGAGCATTATTGCACAGGCAGGTGCAAAATATTTCAACGGGAGACGCGTGCGGCCGCACGCGATCCGCTACGCAAAAACCACATCCGCGCGTAACCAGCGCCCCGCGATAAATTTAATTATTATTATTTCGAGCGAGAGAGGGCGAATGCCGAATCGGGGCCGAGTATTGGAATGCATTGAATTGCAACGGCATCGTCGACCGAATGTTTCGCGGCTGAACTTTCCATCCGGGTTTCTCCCTCTCTTTCTTTCCCTCCTCGCCCGCCCTCTCACTCTTTCTCCCTTTCCTCGCTGGCTTTCCTCCCCCTTTTCCTCCTTGTCGCTCTCCGCCTTCCTCCGGCTTCGTGTTTCTCCGGTTTACTGTCCAGTGTTCTCTACCGAGTCGACCTTTCTTTCTTTCTCTCTCTCTCTCTCTCTCTCTCTTTTTCATTATCATCGTTGCCCTTATATCTTTTAATGAAAATTTCGAGAGGCGTCGTCTATCCTGTTCTCCGTTGTTTCCGCAAGAGCGTAAGATTCAGACCTCGCGGCCTTAATTCGCGGGAAAGACCCATTTTGCGATTTAACATTAAATGCGCGGTAAAAAGCGGCGACGGACAGGATTTGCAATTGCACGCCGGCGGGCGCAAACGCAAATTTCGCACGCGGGCTATTCATCCTCGCTTGTCGACGGGCAATACGACTGAATGTTATCAGTTTCGATTGTTTACCTGCTCGGTGCGTTTGTCCGCGCGGAATCCATTTTCGCGAAAGATAGGGCAAAATTTTTCAGCTCGCGCGCCGTGCGGCCGCCATCGGCCATTTGTTTAAAAGGACTCTCGCTCGATTAACGGTATGACGATGTCATCACCGTTATTCTATATTTCTGTTGTGCCTAAATGTAATGTCCGCGATGAGTCGTTCGACAGACGGTGTTTTCTGACGAACGGCCGACGAGTAACAATTTTCGAGGAACAATTTTTATAAATTTAACGCCGCCGCCGTCGCATTTTTAATTAAACGTCGTCCACCGTGACACGATGAGCGCCATTCGGAGAACTACCCTTCCCAATGTTCTCTCTCCCTCCGCACATTACTCGTCATTCTTTTTTATTCCGTCCGGTAAAACTCGATGGGAATCAGACCAGCGGTGTCACATGCAAAAATGATCACGCTATCGTTAAATCCCGCTAGTCTACGTGAGTCACGAGTGTATCGCGTGTAATCGAAGTAACGTTAAAATGAGGTTCGTTTCGATAATGGACAATGAATAACATTTTCAACCCCAACTCTTATAACACCGCTCTCATCACCGTTGCTGCCCCCGTTCCGAGGTAAAATGCACAAAATTTCCGCTAGCAGATATTTCCGTTTGTATAGTGCACCGTAAATTAATATAAATTACACACACGCACACACACACCTACACACACGCGATTCAGGGAATGCACGCAGCGCGCGTCGTGAGAGTGAGCGCGCCAGCGTGCTCTCGATTATTGCGCGGCGTCGTTTAATTTACGCGAGTGATACGAATCGTGGATTTCGGTATTGCGAAATTTACACGCTTATCTCTCTCGGGGATAACGCGTTCGTTCGCTCGCTCGCTCGCTCGCTTGCTCGCTTGCTCGCTCATTCATTTGCTTGTGCCCACTAATCTGTCCGCTTAGAAACGAGCAAGGAGAGAGAAATAGCGAAAGAAAGAGAGAGAGAGAAAGAGAGAGGGAGAGGGAGAGGGAGAAGGAGAAGGAGGAGAGAGGCTCTTGCGCAATCGTTCGACCGTCGAATTTTTACCAGATTAAGCTTAATTAAAAGTAGCCCTCCGGTGAATATAATTGGCCGCTGTTTAATTTCTCTTCTTCGTTTTGCCCGGCGTCGGTCATGGGACGCGTCCCGCCATTGTCCGGCGCGCGATGTGTGACGATCACCTGTACAGTCCCGGCCGGCTTCACGCGAGCCTCCGGATAATAATATCACGAGTGTGCGTGTGTGTATGTATGTATGTATGTATGCAAGCAAGCATGTGTGCGTACGTGAGTGCGCGTATACGTGCGTAACGCGGAAGCGCGCGAGAGAGATCGCGAGCGAAATAATCTACGTGTGTTCGATAATGTAACTCGAGAATTAGAAGTTAAGCCAGAGCGGGGCAGCGTGTCGTTGCCGAACGACCGAGGCACGGGAGAGCGAGTGTGCCCTGAGTGTGACAGCCAGTGTGTGAGTGTGATACATGTGTGTGTTTCACGCGTGTGACGTATGCATGGGCGCGACGCGCGAGTTTGTTCGTTCGTTCGTCGTTTGCTAGCTCGCTCGCTCGCTCGCTCGCACGTGTCCTCCAAGTATATTCTATCGTCATTAATCACGTCTCATCATCCCGTCATTACCAGTGTACTCACCATGACAAGTAGGATAAGCATCCATAAGTTATCGAATACTAATAATATCATCATTAATGGCGACATTAAGGCGAAGGGAGAACCCACGATGCCCGCGAGAGTGCACGTGCGTCGGTAGAGGAAAAGAGTCAAAGAGACGAAGACGAGATGACACACGTATACCGAGAGAAAGAGAGAGAGAGAGAGAGAGAGAAAGACAGAGAGAGCGAGACGAATAAGAGAAGAAGCTCATTTAATGTCGGTAATCATTGTTCATTATTTATAAATGACTCGAATGCAGGATACAATAAAACGCATAGTACTTAGCGAGAGTATTCTTCATTCGTCCTCTTCTTCGTCATCGTCGAAGCGCATGTGTTTCAGAATCAATTCAACAGCAGCGCGGTCCTGCCGATCCCGCTCGGACGAGACCGAGACGCCAAGGACGAGGAGGAGTTCATCACCGGTGCTGAAGCGCGTGGTCGGCCATTTGTCACATTCTATTTTGCAGGGATTAATTGCCGCGACGATGACGACGCCGTGGGAACGTGCGCGGCGCGACGTTAAAAACGAGCAATTGAGACGCCGGAGAGAGAGAGAAAGAGAGAGAGTTCTCTCCGGCGCGCGTGTCGATTGTGTCGCGCGAATCTCCATCGCGCTCTTATCGGTTTCGAATTATGTCCGCCGGCAGTGTCTCCTCGCCGAAGGAGGAAGAAGTCGTCAAGAACGGCGAGGCAGAGAGAGAGAGAGAGAGCGAGAGAGAGCGAGAGAGAGAGAGAGAGAGAGGGAGAGAGAGAGAGAGCAAGAGCGTTACTTAGCATCCATTACGAAGATGTTCCATTAATTCAACTCCATTACATTCTTTATGACTCGCCCCATTCGCCAAAAGGGGAAACTTCGCGGACGCAAACCGAGACGTCTCTTTTAATGGTTACTCCCGTCGTGATTATGGAAATCGATACTGCGGAAGTTATAACGCGTAATCGCTCGCGCGATCGATATTCGTTCGTCTCGCGCGTCTCGCGGTTTCACATTTTCCTCTGCTCTTCTGCCTCTCCTTTCCTTCCCTTCTTTTATTTTCTTTCTGCCGCTTTAGTAACCCGACGCCTCTGAAATTCACGATCAGCGGTCGCTCCTCCGGAAGGTGTTGAGGTCGGGAAGGCTATATTATCCGGGAGTCTCGCGGTGATTTTTCGGAGGAGTAGCGGCGACGATAAACTCACCGGACGAATCGCGCCGTGATAAAAGCCGCCGGAAGAGGCTTCACCCTAGCGACACCGGCCGGGGGAGAAATTGAGGAAAACGAAGCGCGAGAGCCGGCGGAAAAAAGAACATCCCCCATTCGCCGCACTCTCTCTTCCCGCCCCTTCCCCCTCTCACACCCTCCAGACCCCGGCCAGACCGCACCAACGGTGCGTTAAGCGTCGCGGTTTTTTAAAAGCCCCCTTCCCAGCAATACGCTGCTCTGGAAAATACTAAATCAGAACGATGGCACTGACGGTGCGTTGTGTGCAAGAGATCGAGGGCGAAAGAGGCAGGGACGGGGAACAGTGAGGGGCAAGAAGAAAGAGAGAGAGAGAGGAAAGAGAGGAAAGAGATACAGAGAGGTGAAGTATTCCTGCCGTTGTCAAGCCGAACGACACGTCGTAGAGCGTCGTGCGCGTGTGGATGTGTTACGGGCGCGAATAGACGAGTTATCTCGTTCTACCCGGGATAATTTCCTTCCGGGTTATCGTCGCGTGTAATTATCCCTCCCTCCGCGGAGTTTCGCACGGAATCGATGGAGTCACCGGCGTGGAGATTCGTCGTCGAGGAAATGCGCGGCTCTGCGATGATCGAGAAACGATGAGATTAAGACGCTTACGAACTTTTAATATAATTATACAATACATGTCTTTGGAAAGGATAACGTCTCTCCGAGACGAGTTCGTCAAGTTATAAATTCAAGCAAAATGTAACCCGTCAGTAGCCGCGCGGAGGCAGCCGAAGCAGCCCGACAAGTTACACGAGATCCTCGGGTATTTTTAATTCGGTGCTCCGCGAGCGTGTCAAGTATCTCAACGGAGAGAAATTATGGACTAATTAAAAATACAATTATATAACTGCGTTTTACGATAAGTTAAATCCCGCGCGAGGGAACGGAAGGATGACGAACAATCGCATTCGGAAATGTACGGTAATATTAAACACTTTTCTCCCTGTTTTTCCCTCTCTCCTCCGCCTCTTTCTCCCTACTCCCCTCTCTCTCTCTCTCTCTCTCTCTCTCTCTCTCTCTCTCTCTCTCTCTCTCTCTCTCTCTTTGCCGCTCTTTCTCACTTGGCGTCAACGTTTGCGGTGATACTCTTCCCTTGATCAAGGGAAATATTCGGCCAACGAGCCAACGCAGCCGGCGCAGGTATTCCTAAAACAATGTCGACGAAACAAACCGCTTTATTTCGGCACAGCACTCGACCATGCTGTCGCACACTTCCTCATACCTCCATTGTCCTAGCACTCGCGCGCGCGAGAGCGGCGAGCATTCTCTTTTTGCGAGGTGGCAGAGCAGAGAAAGACATAAACCCTTTGTCATAATTTCGCACTGCGGCGGCACGTAGTGGATACGCGCGACGCGTGGAATCTTCTGGTGCATACCGTTGGTCGGAATGGCTATGCATCATCTCGACGCAGTCAACTCGAGCGCGTTCGGAAAAAAGCCACCTCCGCCGCTGCAGCCGCCACCGCCAGTTTGCGATATCACGTTGCTCCCTCGTAAAAATCGTCGCGACTTCTGCCTGCCTCGGTCTGCCCCGATCGCACCCTTTCGTCCTGATACCGAGTCATCGCGTTCAATCATCGATCGTGATCTGCCCCTCCCTCCCCCCCTCTTCCAATTAACGGATTCAATTAGCAAGCTCACAGCCTGATTCCCGATCCCGCCGGCGCCTCATGGAAATATCCGACTCCGGCGAAAGTGCGGACGCGAGGAATACCGCGCGTTTCACGGACGAGCGTTCGCCGGCCGCGCGATCGAGTCGAGCCCGATGCAGAGACAAGAACAGTCGATACGTTTGCGTTAGCGTAACGTTATCGCCGTCGACGTTATCCTTACGCCATTGTGCGTCGCGGCACATGTGTGTACGCACGCGCGCGACGGTTTACGCACAAAGCCGTCGAGGCGTATTGCCAGTCACCGCGCGTTGCCCGTTGGCATTGTGTATATACCATTACAATGTATATCGGCTGGCCGAGTCAACAGGCCGACAGAGAACGTCCATTACTTCATCAAACCTCCACCATCGCTGACAGATCCGGCCGCCGCCAATTTGCCAACAATCGCTACACTCGGTCAGTATAAACAGTTCGGCTCTTTGACTACGCCGGCGGGGTAGCTTGAGCAGGATAGAGAGAGAGAGAGAGAGAGAGAGAGAAAGCAAGCGCTTCGCCATCACCGCAGTAATACACACACGGCTTCAACCCCTCGCGACGTGATCCCCCCAGCCCTTTCGTTCATCACTTCTTCATGAGCGACGTGAGTTTCCAAGTAGGCTGCGCCTCGAAATTGCGGGAGCGCTGATACCCTCGGAATACGCGCGCGGTTGGGATTTGTAGACTTGTGTATCGTCGCGACCGGAAGGGATTCGCTGGCAGCCTGATCCACACGCTTTCTCTTTCTCCTGGTTTCTGTGTTTATCTCTACCTACCTATCTATCTACCTGCCTATCTATCTATCTGTCCCTTCCTCTCTCGAGGAGGAACGGCAATATAGAAAGACGATGCGGTCGTCGGTAAGCGCGCCCGGCGAACCTGCAGCTTAATTGTAGCGTTTAATCGCGGGGGAGGGGGGCACGGGCGAAAGGGGACGGCTAGATTAATTATTTAAACCCCCGTAGGCTAACGTCGAATTAATGGACACGGCGCCGCAACGCTACCGCGGTATCGATAATTCCGCAGTTCCTGTGACTGCTCCTATTGAACTCGTGGCACACGCCGTTTACGGGACATAGATAACGCGCTCGCGCATGTGTGTGTATATTTCATTTATGACTGTTGCTCCGCACGCCGCTATTTTCGCGGCGGGATAGCGCGCGTAAGATTCTGCGAGCGAGCCAAGATTTGTCGCGGGAGAAACTCTTCATTTTCGATCGCGCGCCCGATTCCCGACGATGAGTCAGCTCGTTTTCCCTCGCCTCTGCCCCTTTTTCTTCAATGTTCCTCTGTGCATCCTCTCGAATGCAGTGGGATTTAAGTTACGCGCTCGCCGAAGAAAACGCTCCAGCGTCAAGCCCTCGCGTTAATGAGATCGAATCGAGACGATGAGGATTCGACGAAGTCTGGACAATCGGAGGGAGATTACTCGACGGCTTCCAGTCCTTCGACTTCGAATCCCGTCGACGTCCAAGTGCATACGGTATAGGACAATAATGAAAGGAGAGGAGCGTTCGCTCTGGGAAAGCACAGATGGCGGGGCACGAGATACCGTTGATGCCGTTGAGAAAAAGTGACGTTCGGAGATGTGTTTTGAATGTTTAATATTAGACATTAAATTGCCTGCGTTAACTCTTACTACTCACGGCGCAAAGGTTCTCGTCTAATTAATCACGGCAGCGCGAGCATGAACGCATTTCGACGCGGTGCAGTTCTCATAATCGGCAACAGATCAAACGCGAGACCTGTGGAAATGGAAAACCTCCGCACCGGCCGAATCTTCATCGCACGCGCGCGTTGCAGTATTTAATTTCCAAAAGTTAGGCGCGCTCGGTTGCGTCGGTAAACTGTAACGCACGCGTTTGGACCGTGGCAGATATTCGGTAACCAAACGGCGCAGCAGCTATCATGGTTTCTCTCTGTGGCATCGGAGACGCGTCGAGTCGGGTCGGCTGGGCTGAGCGGTGCCGGACCGAGCCGCGCCGCGCCAATCGTTCTCCTTCCATTTGCAAATTAAATGGTCACGTCCTTCATTTCAATTCCGCGGAAGCCAATCCCGGAGTTTCCAATGTAACTTGTCTTAAACTCGGCGACGACCGGACGTTTAATCTTAATAGATCTGCCGTCTTATCGCGCAGCCGATGTATATCAACATTTTTTCTATTTTCACCGCTGACATCTCCATCGACTTTCCTACCACTTTCACCTCCGCCCCTTTGCCGCCCCCGCCCCGCACTTTTATCCGTTCCGTTTCTCATTCTCCCTCCGTTTCTACGCGCTCTTCCGGCTACCGATTTCTTTCCATCGACTCACTCTCTCTCTCCCTCCCTCCCTCCCTCCCTCTCTCTCTCTCCTTCTCTTCTTCTCGCCCTTACCGCGCTCTCCGTTTTTCCGTTTACCGCTTTCCGCCACCGCCTTCGTT